TCAGGACGCCAGTTTATTCCACACTACTGAAGCTGCTCCTCTTTGTGGAACCACCGTGGAGTCGGTAATAATTTTGCTTTCAGCCATGCTTGTTGTTGCCGTGGGTAACAGTATGACATCAATATGTCAACAAGCTGAAATATTGTGAGTATCACGATATGAATTTTTCATTTCAGATTAAAAACTATACCAGTATTATCGTACACAAGATGATACGGCACACCCCTACAATGAATGCATGAAGGCCAAGAAGAATGACATTGCTATCATTATCGTACTGCACTAATCCCTGACCTTGTCCAGCGTCAACTCAGACATTCAGTGATGCTGCAGCTCATCACAGCACTGTGACCCAATGAATCGTTGATCAATACTCACTCTTCTAGTGACACAGTGAGCTCTTTCAGTTTCTTCCTCTGACGTGCTATAGCGCCGGAGCAGCTGTCCTGCAGCTTGGTCACTTCTTCCAGCTTCTGTTTATAGAGACGATGTGTATCCTGGAGGTGAAAGAAGAAATAAATAAAGTTGTGTTTAGCCATGCCGAAGGTCAAGATGCCACAATTAAACAGGCGCAGGCTCCTCTGAAGCTGAAACAGTGACTTAACCGGCTAAAAATAACAGAAAGGTCCTTTAATGAGTAACTTGATCTTGTTTTTGTCATTAGACAGTGATATCATTTACATTTCCCATGATAATAACCTTACTTATGTGTCTATGTGCTGTCTGTGAGCTGTGACTGCTCTGGTGTATTTACACACAGAGGCTGATTGTTTCCCACTGAGCATGTGACCTTTGATGACAGTTGCGCACAGTTAGCTGTGTTGTAATCGTGATCATGTTTTGACATCAGTGGTGAGTGATATTTGAGTTCTGGGTGCCTTAGAGCACTTGCTAGTCATAATTCAACCATCTGATCAGTCACTTGGGTTCCAGCAACAACAGTAGAATGTAACTGAGTACTTTTACTCAGGTACTTTGCTTTGGTACAAGTTTAAGTACATTTTTAGAAATAACATGTTTTATTAATGCATATGTTTGACAGCTATAGAAACAAGCTGCTTTGAAGATTAAGAATTTACACACGATATAGAAAAAACAGCTTGTATGAAATTATGCCAGCAGTTCAGAACAGACAAACTTAACACTGGCTCTCAACCTGCTACCCAGGGGCCAAATCTGACCCCCATGGTTCTGGGTGGCCCCTCAAACCCTTTTCTTCTCTTTTCTCACAGGAAAAGAAATTGATTCATGCTGGGATTTTCTTTCTTTTGTTGCTGTTTAAATATACATGAAGCTGCATTTACATTGCCTTGTGGCAACTGCCATGACAACCGTCTACCTGAAAGAGCGTTCCCCAAAACAGCAAAGCCTTCTTAAAAGCAGCTGCTGCCACAACAGTCCAGGGCTGTGATGACCGGCAGGTGCTTCGGTGAGCATCACTAACGGAAGTGCAAGCTAGCTAGCAAAACAACGACAATCAGTGAAAATACCAAAGATTTCCATGTATTTGGACAATTTGTCGTTTGGTGAATATGTTTTCCCAAATCCAGTTTTTCTTCTGGTTGTCCTTTTAAGTTGCTACCGCTGTGTTGTACAACTCCAGGTATTCAGACACCAACATTATCAGCTCGTCCGCCCCTTTTTATGTGAGCATCCAAAGCCAGGCGGCTACTGCTAGAAGTTGAACGCGGTGAACTCTGTGAGGTACAGCAAAGTCTGTGTGCACTCATGTGGGTGGCAATTGCTTCATACCTACTGCCGTGTCTGAAACCACTTCCCCTCTGCCACCTTCCCCTCACTGACATGACTGGAGGTGAGTTACCACACGGTGGTGTGAAAGCAGCAGCAGTGCATAAAGTCTTAATGTAACAAAAACAAAGGAGTTGATCATTGATTTTAGAAATAATAGTGCAAAGCCAAAAAACAGCCTGATACATGGTGAACCAGCGCAAATTGTGGAAACCTACAAATACATAGGAACCACATTTGACTCTCATCTCAAGTTCGACAAGAACACAGACTCACTTGTCAAACGGGGACAACAAAGAATCCACCTGATGCGGAAGCTCAACTCTTTTAGTGTTTCAAAAACCATTTTATGTTCCTTTTATCATTCTTTTATTGAGAGTCTTATAACGTTCTCTTTTATCTGTTGGTTTAATGGTCTGTCTGTGAAGGACAAGAACACTCTGAATCAGATAATTAGAGTCTGCTCCAAGATTATTGGAGTCCAGCTAACAGAACTGAGTGTACTCTGGAAGAAACGCGTGGTCCAGAAAGCAAAATGCATTATGAAGCAGGGAGACCATGTCATGTCCAGTGGATTTAATTTAATGCCCTCAGGGCGGCACTACTATGTACCCCTGAGGAAGACAAATACTCAAACTCTTTTATCCCTTCAGTTATCCCATTTATTCATTCTTTTTATTGATTGAATACTTATTTACACATATTCGCACATGTACAAGGTATCGATGCTGGGAAACCATTAGTTCAACTGATCCACTGACAACTGAGAGTTAAGTGATAAAAGTTGTATGTCTATGAATGATTGTTGTATTTGTTTGTGCTTTTATTTATTGAACTGGGAGCTGTAAACTGAATTGCCCACACGGGATAAATAACGTTTTCTGAACTGAACTAAACTGAACTAAAAAGCGTCAAAACAGAGCTTGTTTGTCAAAGAAAGTACCAAGTGAGGATCCACTGGATCCCCTGCCAACCATCTGGGCTCAGCCCCAAATGAACAGAACCACCCCTGTGTACATGTGCAGCGCTGCTGACTGACCCCTGACCTGTCATTTTGCAAAAGCAGCCCAAGTGCAATCCAAGTTGAGTAGTGCTGGCCTGCAGACTAGAACTTCAATGTACTATATAACAGAGATGGGACCAAGTCACACATGTGCAAGTCTCAAATAAGTCTCAAGTCTTAACCTTCAAGTCTCAAGTAAGTCCCAAGTAATTTTTTCTTGGGCAAGTCGAGTCAAGTCAAGTCCTGTAATAGGTCACACAGAGGCTGATTGTTTCCCACTGAGCATGTGACCTTTGATGACAGTTGCGCACAGTTAGCTGTGTTGTAATCGTGATCATGTTTTGACATCAGTGGTGGGTGATATTTGAGTTCTGGGTGCCTTAGAGCACTTGCTAGTCATAATTCAACCATCTGATCAGTCACTTGGGTTCCAGCAACAACAGTAGAATGTAACTGAGTACTTTTACTCAGGTACTTTGCTTTGGTACAAGTTTAAGTACATTTTTAGAAATAACATGTTTTATTAATGCATATGTTTGACAGCTATAGAAACAAGCTGCTTTGAAGATTAAGAATTTACACACGATATAGAAAAAACAGCTTGTATGAAATTATGCCAGCAGNTCTTGCAATATACATTGCGACTGCATCTGTGATCGCTTTCCACCGGACCCCTTTCTTATCATACGGCAGTGTTTCCCCTACCATTATATTGGATCACAACAGAAGTCATTTAAGGTTACCTTTCCTATAGAACAGGTCTATACCTTGTCCTTTTATTAAACAAACTAAATAGCCTTATGTTGCAGGCTGAGCCTGATGTGTGTGGCTTGTGTGCGTGGCTTGTGTGTGTGTGTGTGTGTGTGTGTGTGTGGAGCTGTGTATGTGTGTAGTAGGAGGTATGAGACGTTAGTGCGCCGGGTGTGGCGTGTGAGGTCACACGGATGCGCCCCAAGAAGAAAGTGAGGCATGTGCTATGTTATTTACATCGAGCAGCCACAGTGAAGAAGCCTACGCAGTTCTGCATGCTGTTTTTGAGTTATTTCACTCTATGTAAAAGTCGGACACTGATGAGAGAGACTGTGCATCATCCCTGCAGTGCTGAAAATAAAGTGCCGTTCTTTAACGCAGACGAAGTCCCGTTGTTTATGTGTTGTTGCCATAACGAGCTAACACAAGCTAAAGGAGCTAATGGTCTTCGGAAGTCCCTTTACTACGGTTTGGGGGTCTGCCAGCTTGGCGTTGGTAACACTTATTCATCTTATTTACACAACGGCATGTCATTTATGTCCCTACACGGTGCGCGTTTAAAATCCTCCTCTGCTCTCTGTGTTGCGCACGGCGGAGTTCGGCCCTGATGCACGCGCACACACACACACGCAGGTGAGCACAGACACAGACACAGGTGAGCACAGACACAGGTGAGCACAGACACAGGTGAGCACAGACACAGACACAGGTGTGCACACAAAAGCGCTGAAGAACTCGTTCCCTTTCTTAAGGAGTTCTTCCCCGCTCGCTGCCATGTTGTTTGTGTATCAAGCGCGCAGGGGGGAGGGGTGAGCCCACTCTGAACTACGGGAGCCCAGCGTGGAGCGGCGGTGGCAGATTTTAAAATAGAAACTCGATTTTCATTAAAACAAATCGGCCAAAACCGCAAATTCAAATTAATCGATAAAATCGATTTATCGCCCAGCCCTACATATGTAGATTTACATTATCAAAAGTTTATGACAATATCACCTGACGACATGGTGAGAGAGGACAGAGAGAGACGCTGTGCTGCTGCCAGAGGAGCCGCTGAATGAGTTCTCTCTGAGCGGTAAGTCACTAAAAGAGTCTGAGAAGTCCGGGGCTGTTCATAAAACATTCAGGACGCCAGTTTATTCCACACTACTGAAGCTGCTCCTCTTTGTGGAACCACCGTGGAGTCGGTAATAATTTTGCTTTCAGCCATGCTTGTTGTTGCCGTGGGTAACAGTATGACATCAATATGTCAACAAGCTGAAATATTGTGAGTATCACGATATGAATTTTTCATTTCAGATTAAAAACTATACCAGTATTATCGTACACAAGATGATACGGCACACCCCTACAATGAATGCATGAAGGCCAAGAAGAATGACATTGCTATCATTATCGTACTGCACTAATCCCTGACCTTGTCCAGCGTCAACTCAGACATTCAGTGATGCTGCAGCTCATCACAGCACTGTGACCCAATGAATCGTTGATCAATACTCACTCTTCTAGTGACACAGTGAGCTCTTTCAGTTTCTTCCTCTGACGTGCTATAGCGCCGGAGCAGCTGTCCTGCAGCTTGGTCACTTCTTCCAGCTTCTGTTTATAGAGACGATGTGTATCCTGGAGGTGAAAGAAGAAATAAATAAAGTTGTGTTTAGCCATGCCGAAGGTCAAGATGCCACAATTAAACAGGCGCAGGCTCCTCTGAAGCTGAAACAGTGACTTAACCGGCTAAAAATAACAGAAAGGTCCTTTAATGAGTAACTTGATCTTGTTTTTGTCATTAGACAGTGATATCATTTACATTTCCCATGATAATAACCTTACTTATGTGTCTATGTGCTGTCTGTGAGCTGTGACTGCTCTGGTGTATTTACACACAGAGGCTGATTGTTTCCCACTGAGCATGTGACCTTTGATGACAGTTGCGCACAGTTAGCTGTGTTGTAATCGTGATCATGTTTTGACATCAGTGGTGAGTGATATTTGAGTTCTGGGTGCCTTAGAGCACTTGCTAGTCATAATTCAACCATCTGATCAGTCACTTGGGTTCCAGCAACAACAGTAGAATGTAACTGAGTACTTTTACTCAGGTACTTTGCTTTGGTACAAGTTTAAGTACATTTTTAGAAATAACATGTTTTATTAATGCATATGTTTGACAGCTATAGAAACAAGCTGCTTTGAAGATTAAGAATTTACATACGATATAGAAAAAACAGCTTGTATGAAATTATGCCAGCAGTTCAGAACAGACAAACTTAACACTGGCTCTCAACCTGCTACCCAGGGGCCAAATCTGACCCCCATGGTTCTGGGTGGCCCCTCAAACCCTTTTCTTCTCTTTTCTCACAGGAAAAGAAATTGATTCATGCTGGGATTTTCTTTCTTTTGTTGCTGTTTAAATATACATGAAGCTGCATTTACATTGCCTTGTGGCAACTGCCATGACAACCGTCTACCTGAAAGAGCGTTCCCCAAAACAGCAAAGCCTTCTTAAAAGCAGCTGCTGCCACAACAGTCCAGGGCTGTGATGACCGGCAGGTGCTTCGGTGAGCATCACTAACGGAAGTGCAAGCTAGCTAGCAAAACAACGACAATCAGTGAAAATACCAAAGATTTCCATGTATTTGGACAATTTGTCGTTTGGTGAATATGTTTTCCCAAATCCAGTTTTTCTTCTGGTTGTCCTTTTAAGTTGCTACCGCTGTGTTGTACAACTCCAGGTATTCAGACACCAACATTATCAGCTCGTCCGCCCCTTTTTATGTGAGCATCCAAAGCCAGGCGGCTACTGCTAGAAGTTGAACGCGGTGAACTCTGTGAGGTACAGCAAAGTCTGTGTGCACTCATGTGGGTGGCAATTGCTTCATACCTACTGCCGTGTCTGAAACCACTTCCCCTCTGCCACCTTCCCCTCACTGACATGACTGGAGGTGAGTTACCACACGGTGGTGTGAAAGCAGCAGCAGTGCATAAAGTCTTAATGTAACAAAAACAAAGGAGTTGATCATTGATTTTAGAAATAATAGTGCAAAGCCAAAAAACAGCCTGATACATGGTGAACCAGCGCAAATTGTGGAAACCTACAAATACATAGGAACCACATTTGACTCTCATCTCAAGTTCGACAAGAACACAGACTCACTTGTCAAACGGGGACAACAAAGAATCCACCTGATGCGGAAGCTCAACTCTTTTAGTGTTTCAAAAACCATTTTATGTTCCTTTTATCATTCTTTTATTGAGAGTCTTATAACGTTCTCTTTTATCTGTTGGTTTAATGGTCTGTCTGTGAAGGACAAGAACACTCTGAATCAGATAATTAGAGTCTGCTCCAAGATTATTGGAGTCCAGCTAACAGAACTGAGTGTACTCTGGAAGAAACGCGTGGTCCAGAAAGCAAAATGCATTATGAAGCAGGGAGACCATGTCATGTCCAGTGGATTTAATTTAATGCCCTCAGGGCGGCACTACTATGTACCCCTGAGGAAGACAAATACTCAAACTCTTTTATCCCTTCAGTTATCCCATTTATTCATTCTTTTTATTGATTGAATACTTATTTACACATATTCGCACATGTACAAGGTATCGATGCTGGGAAACCATTAGTTCAACTGATCCACTGACAACTGAGAGTTAAGTGATAAAAGTTGTATGTCTATGAATGATTGTTGTATTTGTTTGTGCTTTTATTTATTGAACTGGGAGCTGTAAACTGAATTGCCCACACGGGATAAATAACGTTTTCTGAACTGAACTAAACTGAACTAAAAAGCGTCAAAACAGAGCTTGTTTGTCAAAGAAAGTACCAAGTGAGGATCCACTGGATCCCCTGCCAACCATCTGGGCTCAGCCCCAAATGAACAGAACCACCCCTGTGTACATGTGCAGCGCTGCTGACTGACCCCTGACCTGTCATTTTGCAAAAGCAGCCCAAGTGCAATCCAAGTTGAGTAGTGCTGGCCTGCAGACTAGAACTTCAATGTACTATATAACAGAGATGGGACCAAGTCACACATGTGCAAGTCTCAAATAAGTCTCAAGTCTTAACCTTCAAGTCTCAAGTAAGTCCCAAGTAATTTTTTCTTGGGCAAGTCGAGTCAAGTCAAGTCCTGTAATAGGTCACACAGAGGCTGATTGTTTCCCACTGAGCATGTGACCTTTGATGACAGTTGCGCACAGTTAGCTGTGTTGTAATCGTGATCATGTTTTGACATCAGTGGTGGGTGATATTTGAGTTCTGGGTGCCTTAGAGCACTTGCTAGTCATAATTCAACCATCTGATCAGTCACTTGGGTTCCAGCAACAACAGTAGAATGTAACTGAGTACTTTTACTCAGGTACTTTGCTTTGGTACAAGTTTAAGTACATTTTTAGAAATAACATGTTTTATTAATGCATATGTTTGACAGCTATAGAAACAAGCTGCTTTGAAGATTAAGAATTTACACACGATATAGAAAAAACAGCTTGTATGAAATTATGCCAGCAGTTCAGAACAGACAAACTTAACACTGGCTCTCAACCTGCTACCCAGGGGCCAAATCTGACCCCCATGGTTCTGGGTGGCCCCTCAAACCCTTTTCTTCTCTTTTCTCACAGGAAAAGAAATTGATTCATGCTGGGATTTTCTTTCTTTTGTTGCTGTTTAAATATACATGAAGCTGCATTTACATTGCCTTGTGGCAACTGCCATGACAACCGTCTACCTGAAAGAGCGTTCCCCAAAACAGCAAAGCCTTCTTAAAAGCAGCTGCTGCCACAACAGTCCAGGGCTGTGATGACCGGCAGGTGCTTCGGTGAGCATCACTAACGGAAGTGCAAGCTAGCTAGCAAAACAACGACAATCAGTGAAAATACCAAAGATTTCCATGTATTTGGACAATTTGTCGTTTGGTGAATATGTTTTCCCAAATCCAGTTTTTCTTCTGGTTGTCCTTTTAAGTTGCTACCGCTGTGTTGTACAACTCCAGGTATTCAGACACCAACATTATCAGCTCGTCCGCCCCTTTTTATGTGAGCATCCAAAGCCAGGCGGCTACTGCTAGAAGTTGAACGCGGTGAACTCTGTGAGGTACAGCAAAGTCTGTGTGCACTCATGTGGGTGGCAATTGCTTCATACCTACTGCCGTGTCTGAAACCACTTCCCCTCTGCCACCTTCCCCTCACTGACATGACTGGAGGTGAGTTACCACACGGTGGTGTGAAAGCAGCAGCAGTGCATAAAGTCTTAATGTAACAAAAACAAAGGAGTTGATCATTGATTTTAGAAATAATAGTGCAAAGCCAAAAAACAGCCTGATACATGGTGAACCAGCGCAAATTGTGGAAACCTACAAATACATAGGAACCACATTTGACTCTCATCTCAAGTTCGACAAGAACACAGACTCACTTGTCAAACGGGGACAACAAAGAATCCACCTGATGCGGAAGCTCAACTCTTTTAGTGTTTCAAAAACCATTTTATGTTCCTTTTATCATTCTTTTATTGAGAGTCTTATAACGTTCTCTTTTATCTGTTGGTTTAATGGTCTGTCTGTGAAGGACAAGAACACTCTGAATCAGATAATTAGAGTCTGCTCCAAGATTATTGGAGTCCAGCTAACAGAACTGAGTGTACTCTGGAAGAAACGCGTGGTCCAGAAAGCAAAATGCATTATGAAGCAGGGAGACCATGTCATGTCCAGTGGATTTAATTTAATGCCCTCAGGGCGGCACTACTATGTACCCCTGAGGAAGACAAATACTCAAACTCTTTTATCCCTTCAGTTATCCCATTTATTCATTCTTTTTATTGATTGAATACTTATTTACACATATTCGCACATGTACAAGGTATCGATGCTGGGAAACCATTAGTTCAACTGATCCACTGACAACTGAGAGTTAAGTGATAAAAGTTGTATGTCTATGAATGATTGTTGTATTTGTTTGTGCTTTTATTTATTGAACTGGGAGCTGTAAACTGAATTGCCCACACGGGATAAATAACGTTTTCTGAACTGAACTAAACTGAACTAAAAAGCGTCAAAACAGAGCTTGTTTGTCAAAGAAAGTACCAAGTGAGGATCCACTGGATCCCCTGCCAACCATCTGGGCTCAGCCCCAAATGAACAGAACCACCCCTGTGTACATGTGCAGCGCTGCTGACTGACCCCTGACCTGTCATTTTGCAAAAGCAGCCCAAGTGCAATCCAAGTTGAGTAGTGCTGGCCTGCAGACTAGAACTTCAATGTACTATATAACAGAGATGGGACCAAGTCACACATGTGCAAGTCTCAAATAAGTCTCAAGTCTTAACCTTCAAGTCTCAAGTAAGTCCCAAGTAATTTTTTCTTGGGCAAGTCGAGTCAAGTCAAGTCCTGTAATAGGTCACACAGAGGCTGATTGTTTCCCACTGAGCATGTGACCTTTGATGACAGTTGCGCACAGTTAGCTGTGTTGTAATCGTGATCATGTTTTGACATCAGTGGTGGGTGATATTTGAGTTCTGGGTGCCTTAGAGCACTTGCTAGTCATAATTCAACCATCTGATCAGTCACTTGGGTTCCAGCAACAACAGTAGAATGTAACTGAGTACTTTTACTCAGGTACTTTGCTTTGGTACAAGT